AGAAAGGAAGATCCTTCTGTGACTCACTCTCCAAGCAGTTGCAATGGGCGGGGCTGCGCCGATCTGAAGCCAGAAGCCAGGAGCCTTTTCTAGGTCTTAAGGCTTTGGGCTGTCCTTGACTGCTTTCTCAAGCCACAAGCAGGGAGATGAATGGGAAGTGGGGCCACCGGGATTAGAACCAGCGCCTATTTGGGATCCCTGTGTGCAAGGCAAGGACTTTAGCTGCTAGGCTACTGCATCAGGCCCCTTAGCAGAGTTTTTTTAACAGGAAGAAATTTTTTTAAAATATTGCCATTTCTCTTGCTTTGCATGATGGTCCTAAATTATACCATTTAGTTTAGTGCCAAGTTAAGAAACGATAAGTATTCAGCCGATTTTAAAGTTGCATATCCCATCTAAAAATATGTAAGAAGATATTTTAAAGTTCATGGAAAATAGAATAATAATAGAAACTTACATTGGTGCAAAAATTGTTTGGAATCCATGCTTATGAGGTGTGCGCCAAATGTTCACGATGAATATATATTATGTAAACACTAATGATTTAAAATTTGTTTGTAATAATATAAACATATTTTTAATTCCATGCCCCAGCAATTTTGGAAGCAGTCACTTGCATAATCGAGATCTATAGTTGTTTGATATGTGAAACATTAGTTTGACATGATGGATTATTAAAAAAAATAAAATTGAAATTAAGCAAATCAAGGTGGGTTAACAGCAAGCTTAAGACATTTTAGTTGCTCAACCTGGACTAAGTTAACCTCACCAAGGAATGTTTTTGAAAATAAAGAGTTTAGGCAGAAAACGATTCAGAACTGAATTATTTTTTAGGACTGCAAAGTTCGGGAAAACTGCTCCTGTGAGGCCCTCGTAAATGATATTCAGAACATCATGGTGAAGAACAGGCAATCAGTTCCCTATTCTTCTTTAAAAGAACACTCTTGTTCTGCTCTTAATAGTTCTTGCTTTACCCTTCCCAGCCTATATCTTTAAAAGAATTTAAATGACTTTCTAAACTTTTTAAGTTTATATGCTTCAACGAAGTAAGTTATTAAAAGTTTCTCCAAAATGTACTATGTCTGGTCTTTGTTAATAGACATTTCCTGCATACTTTCCCTCCAAAATTACATAAACTTAGTGAATAAACTCATTTTTAAAAAAGATTTATTTATTTTTATTGGAAAGGTAGAACAGATTTATGGAAAGGAGAAACAGAGAAAGATGTTTCATCTGTTGGTTCACTCCCCAAATGGCCCCAACAGCTGAAGCTGAGCTAATCTGAAGCCAGGAGCCTCTTCTGGGTCTCCCCAATGAAGGGACTGGATCCCAAGTCTTTGGGCCATAGTCCTCTCTGCTTTCCCAGGCCACAAGCAGGGACGTGGATGGGAAGCAGAGGAGCCGGGCCTCAAACTGGTGCCCATATGATACCCTGGTGCTTGCAAAGGGAAGATTAGCCAATTGAGCCATCACAATGGGCCCTGAAAGAAATAATTTCAACATGTTATTAAAATAAGTCTTTGGGGGCCCGGCAGCGTGGCCTAGTGGCTAAAGTCCTTGCCTTGAATGTGCCGGGATCCCATATTGGCGCTGGTTCTATTCCGGCAGCCCCACTTCCCATCCAACTCTCTGCTTGTGGCCTGGGAAAGCAGTCAAGGATGGCCCAGAGCTTTGGGACCCTGCATCCACATTGGAGACCCGGAAGAGGTTCCTGGATCCTGGCTTCGGATCAGCGTAGTACCAGCTGTTGTGCTCACTTGGGGAGTGAATCATCGGACGGAAGATCTTCCTCTCTGTGTCTCCTCCTCTCTGTACATCTGACTTTGTAATAAAATAAATAAATAAATAAATAAATCTTAAAAAAAAAAAAAAGACAAGTCTTCAATTCGTAGTTATGTTTCCTGGATGGAATCTGAAAACTTTTGCATTGGATCAGAAGTACCTGCTTCATTTTGTGACAGACCTAATTCAATCCTGCATTTGCCTGACCTGCTGTATGGGCACTTGTAGGTTGATTTTGGAAAACATTGCTTTATATCAGCAAACTCTGTAACTATGTTTATGATCAACAATGAAAAGTCTTATGAAACAGATTTCTAATCTCTAAGCTATTTGAAGGCAGGGACCACTGTTGGTTTTTTTCTTTTTTAATCCCTCGTATATATCATAGTGCTTGGCCATACACAAATCTCTACAAACTGAATGAGTGAATAAAATTAGGACAAATATTCCAGCCATAGTTTAAAACAAAAGCAGCACAGCACATTTATCACTCCTCATCATTTTAATTACTAAACAGTTAATTTTACTTGGTGAGATGTTAGGATTTATAGAGAATATTAGCGACATTCTTGCTCTCACTCAAGATGAAAGCTCTGAAAAAAAAAAGGTTTACATAACACATTTTATTAAGCATTTTGTTGTCTGCTGACATTGTTTCAGGCAAAGGAGGCAGACAAAAATCCTGGCCTGTGTAGAACTTACATTTCCATATGGATGACAACCAAACTGCAAAACAGGCATTTGCTCTTTGAGTAGTGACTCAGAGAAAACAAAATGCAGAAGTAAGCACAGAAAGTGGGTCCAGTGTTAAAGTTTTAGATGAGATGGTAGGAAGGGCTTCACAAAGGTGACTTTTGGATAAACAGAGAAAACAGAGGTCTGAAAAGATGCTGTATTCTCATCATGGGACAAGCAGGGATGAAAGGGGGTTGGTGTTGTTTGTAAGAAGTGTTGCATTGTCCTTGCTGATTCACTTCCGCACGTGGCAGTCAGTACCGGGTCTCACTGCCGTTACCCACCCGCACACTGGGCCGCAGCGTGTACACTAAACCTGAACAGCCCCGTGGCTTTAACTGATGCAAAGGCTGGGGCCTGTGGACTCAAGTGAAACAGAGCAGCATGAAAACCAGTGTCAGGTGGGAGGCCATTAAGCCAATTCAGCTCCTTTGGGTAACATCAATCGATACATCGGAAGGAAAATTGCACGGTGTCCTAGGGAATTATTGCCATAAATAATAGGAAAAAGAAGTAGAAGGGAAGCAAACCAAGTGAACTGGGGAGTCTAGAAGAGATTCATGGAGGTTAAGGAAAGACAAAGAGGTCAACCACCAGCAGTAATACCAAGGCTCTGCATGGTTCCTGGACAGTCAATACTTGAGAATGGAACATGGCAAATGTGTCTGAGCAGGGTGGCCACAATGGTGGACTTTCCCGGGTGCTCTACAGAATTGTGCTCTCCTCCCGCACTGACATCTAAAAGGCTTAACCCCTAGCACCTCACACCATGACTCTATCAGTAGGCTCACTGCACATACAATTAAGTTAATGAGTTCACACTGGAGCATGGTAGGCCCCTAATCCAGCACACTTGTATTTGTAAAAGAGAGAACTGGAAAAGAAGTTGAGCACTACGTGGAGCACGGAGACTCCATAAGCCACGTGCTTCAACAGACCAGGCTGCTGCCACATTTCGTTCAGATGTCTGCCTCCAGGTAGGGAGACACCAACCGCCCGAGTGCTCCCAATCCGCTTGTGGTAGTTGTTTGAAAAGCTCCAGGAGACGAATTCAGTTTAAGACTGTTTTGAGGCCAACAGGAAGAGTGCCTGATTGTCCTGTGCCCTGGGAAGTTTAACTTCCGTAGTGAAATTGTATTTTCCTGTTTACCCAAAGCTTTCTGTTCACCGTGTTTCATTTTCGTTTCAGAAGACTCACACTCAATCTGCTGATTAACAAATGCCACGGCCGCTTGTGATGCATGTGTGTGCCTGCTGTATTATTAGTCACACGTGCACATACTGATTGGTGAAATGAGGCACAGGTGAGGAAAAATAAAGCTTCTCAACGCAGAACCGAAAGAGTATAAATTGGAAGAAATGTGTGTGGACTGCTTCTTCTCACAGGCTGTGCTGCTCCTGGCGCCCCTCTCCCGCAGTCGCTGCAGCCCCGGGAGTTCATCCAGGTTACAGAGGGGTCAGGGCCAGAGCAGGATGAGAAGAAACACAAGGTTTTCTCAGCTTTCTTTTCCAGGGCACTGGACCCAAACCCAGCTTACACTTCCTGCGCATGCCTGGTCGGGAAGGCGCCCCAGGAAGGCAGCGCCCCTGCCCAGGTTCTCCCTACAACAGGGTCAGGAGGCCAGAGCCGGCAGCCGCTCCCCGGGACCGCGCGACCTCGGCTGGGTTCCCCTCGACCTGGCTGCAGCCAACTCGGCTGGACTTCTGTGCCCTGGCCCAGGAATGGCGTTTCAAGGGAGGCGGGTGGCCATGGCACGTCCCGGGCGCCTAGGGGCAGCCGGAGCAAAGCGCCCTCCAGGGTGGGGAAGGCCGCGCGCCTCCCCGGGGAGAACGATGCTGGGGTAACCCGTCTGCTCGGCTCCCCGGGCCTCTCGACTGCAGCTGGCCACAGCCGGGAGAGCCCTCACCGTCCGGGCTAGACGCTTGCTAACACTCGGCGTTCTCTCATCTCCGCGGAGCCCCGTGCCGGGCGTGCGTGCCCCAGTATGACCTAGCGGAACCGGCCTTCCCCGCAGCACGTGCAGCCCCGCTCGGTTCCGGGGCGGCTGCTTTGCTTCTCCCTCCCCACCCCCAGGGTGTGGCGGGGGCTGCCCAGTATTTTGGAAAATTCCCGCCCCGTGCAGCCAGCCGTCCAGTCAGCGACTGCGGTAGGTAGGCAGAACGTGAGTCGGCAGGTAGTTTGTTGGGAGTTGCGGAACCCCAGACGCTGCCTTTCTCCAGGCGGGCCCAACCCTCCAGGCCCTCGGACGGCCGCCATCAAGCTCCTCTGCAGCAGCCGCACTCACACGGGCAGGCGGACACGCCCACCCGCACGCTCCGCCCACCCGCACGCTCCGCCTCTCCGGGCCGACGAGCACTGAGCATGCTCCGTGTGGAGGGCGGGGCGCTCCCGAGGCCCGCTCGGCGCCCCCGCCGCCCGCCGCCCGCCCGCTCGGAGCCGCGCCCGCCGCAGGCTGCGCCCGCCCCGCCCCCCGCTCGTCCCCGCCGCCTGCAGCAGCGGCAGCACTGGCAGCGGCGGCAGCAGCAGCTGCTCCTCCCCGGCGGCCGGCCGCCCTTCCTGCCCCACCGCGGGTCCCTCCCCGGCCGTGAGAGAAGGAGGACACCGAGCCGCGCGCCGCCCGCGCCCCGCACCGCCTTCGCCTCGTCGCCCTGCCGGCTCCTCACCTTCTGGGAGGAACATGGGTAAGTCGTTCTCCCTCCCCCCACCCTCCCCTCCCGTCATCGCCTGACATGTTTCTCGGCGTGCTGCAGGGAGGGAAAGCGTTCATCTCGTGCAAACTTGCCGGATGCCTCAAGCCCACGGCCGTGAGACGGGTGGCTGTTGGCAGCGGGGCGCGTCAGCGCACGCGGCACGCACGCCGCTGCCAGTGCCGGGCCGGGAGGGTCCCGAGGCGGGTGCGGTTGGGGCTGGGGCCGGCCTGCCGCCCTGGTCTTCTGGCACCTGGCTCGCTGTCCGCCTCCCTCCCCGCCCCCCGTTCTTCCTGCCGGTGCCCGGGCACCCCGGAGCCGCCTGGCAGACTCGCCTCCTCTTGCCCCCCAACCCCACTTCTCCCGAGGCCGCCCGCTGCCCGGCTCCCGGTGCTTGCCGGCCGGCCTCGAGGCGCGGATCCGAACCCCGGGGAGATCACTTGGTGGAACTTCCCTTGCTGGCAGGGCGACCTTTTTTTCCTCATCTTGGGGACGCCTCGTCCTGAGCGGGGAAGTGGGAGCAAGTAGTTGGCGAGGGCGATTTTACAACCTGCACCAACACGGTTCTCCAGGGGCGAGAGCGGACAGCCTCATAGATTGGAAGGATGGCTTGTCAGAGGCCACGAGGGAGGGGAGAGCCGCTAGGTGTGGAATTCGTGTTGGGTGATGCTGTGCTCGGCTCGTTTTCTAGCTTTCGTCTCCTACATAAGGAAACTGCGCCCTATGACATGTTATTTCCCAACTTACATGCTGGTTATTGCTTCCCGGCTCCCCCTGCCTAAATCTGCATAATCTGATTTTAATTCCTTTTGTATTTAATCTCGAGAGATGGGTTTGGGCGAGATATTTAAAAAGCAAACCCGTTTTACAAAAACATAATTTAGCCTCACTTTCTTTCTCATTCTATATTCTGTTGCATCCAGTCATGACCAGCACACCTGCATGTGTTAAATTGTGCTAATGCCATCAAGAGCCGAAAGTTTCTTTTGATAGGAGCAACTTGGGATACTGTACTTCAGCACAGTATGCGTGTTCTCCAGTTTGTTTTCACTCCTGTCATAATCGCCTCATTTACAAAATGTGCATCTGTCAAGGCGGGCTTTTCCCACCCATTCTGTGCAAATTGTTTTAAGCTTGAGTTGAGATGTGGTCTTTTTCTCTGCCTTGCACCGCTCAAGGCTATTCACAATGGTCGGGGAAGTGTCTCCATTTAGAAATGGTGTTGATGGAGCTTCCTGGAAAAGCTCTGAATCAGCCCTTCGGCTGTATAGCGGGAAGAGGTGGTACACGGGAAAAATGATGTAGGTCCCTGAATTTCGTCTCCAGTTGTTGATAGGATGAACACATATCTGCAAGAAGTAGGTGGCCTGTTTGTATGTGCCTGCCCTTTCTCTGGGAGCAGAATTTTAGATAAATTTTAAATGAGATTATTGGACATACTGTGTCTTTGCTTTAAACTTATACACATTGTGTTAGCTGTAGGCCACAAGCCTATAAAGACCCACATAAAATGCTTTTCTCCATATGTCAAGGTGAACTTAACAGTCCACTTAACCAACATTCATGTCAAACCAGTACTTTTTCATTGGAAAAAATGCAGTTCAATTTAAAAATACTGGAATGAAAATACCTACAACAGATGAAATTGCCTACTTAAAAATGATTCGTCTTGAAAATAGTGGTACTGTTTAATTTAAATATAAAAGGCCAAGTAGAAAACCTCTCATTCTAAAACCATAGAAACTCTGGTTTTTCTTTCCTTATAGTACTCTGCTGGTACCTTGTTAGATTTTGAGCCTTATAATGGAATCGTTGTGTTTGTTGTGCACTTAATCAGGAGTTCCAAACAGTGCAATTATATCCTGTTAATTTTTGTGTCTTCAGTGCTTTTGAGTAAATCTATGGCAAACTAATTGTTGGACTTAAAACCACTTATCTTCGTATTTTCAACACTTGAACCTACATAAATCGGGCACTGAACAAGCTTTGGGTTGGTAGCCATTATGGAGATGTGGAGGAAGTTGCAACCAGGAGGGAGGTATAATTATACTCTGATCTCTTTCTCTTTAAAAAAAGAGAACGTGTTGGACTATCCTGGCAGGTTTGGGGCAGCCTCAGGCAAGACATTCCTTGCTGTGCTGGCGTTTCCAGTGGTGAAGCATCAATGACCAGTAGGTACATACAGGCATGGGAACCTAACACCCAGGAAGGCAACGATTTGTCTGAGCCAAGGAAGTTGGAGCAAGTCATGTGTGTAAGATACAGCAGAAAATATGTAGGCATATGTGATGTGGTTTTCCTTCACAAAAAAAGTGATAAAAAATTACTGTTGTAGCCTTATAGACCGTAATTGTTAGGTTTTTTTAAATCATGCACAGTGTACGGTGAGGATAAAATTTCAAGTTTTTGGTAATCGTTTTTATTTTAAAATTAACTCATTTGAAGGAGTAACAGAGAGAGGCCTTGCATGTGCAGGCACTCGTTCCCCAGATGCATCATTGGCTAGGATTGGGCCAGACTGCAGCAAAGAGGCATGGGCTGCTTCTAGATCTCCCGTGGGTGGCAGGTGCCCAAACACTTGGGCCATCATCCACTGATTCTCCAAGGCCGTTAGTACTCAGGGTGCTGGCACAGTGGAAGCTTTATCTGAAACATGGCAAGGTCAGCCACAGTTGCTTGTAATCAGAACAAAATGTTACTTACACACACACACACACACACACACACACACACAAATAGCTAACAGAAATAAATGATGAACTGTTACAGAAGTGTTGAATATGCCCTAGATTCATGGGATGGATAGAATGATTGAGAGAAATGGTGTAACTTGAACCAAAATCAGTTTAGTTCCTGAATGGTAGAAATGAGACTGTTCATCAAAATCGGGGTTTGACAGCAAAAATGAAAGGGAGAGATAGGGAACATTTAGGGGATTTCTAGGATATGACTAATGATGTGAAAGTAAAATGGTCAGTGATAGAGATGAAAGTTTGGATAGATAATGACCAGATCTGGGAAAACCTCAAATTCAAGCTGAAGAATTTGTACTTGCCTATTAAGGGTAACCACTAAATATTTCTATGCAAATAAGTTAGGGATTACCTCTGTAGTGTAGGAAAATTAATTCCAGTGCAAAGTGGATTAGATGATTAGATGAGCAATGAGAAAACCCCTCAAAAGGGAGTTGCTGCAGCTTAAATAAAAACATTTCCAGTCCTGATTTAGGTTGTGACAATGTTAATAGATTTGCAGCTAAAGATCAGGATTTACTTGACAACTGATTGAATGTGCAAGTGAGAAGAAAAGAAGGGTTTTGCCTCAATGATAATGACAGTATGGGGCTCTGTTAACCCAATCTGCTGGAAGAGGAAACATGAGAATTCAAATTTGAACCTGAATTGGATGTTTATGGCCTGTTGTGTATGTCTGCTCCTTGATAGCAGAAACTTTGTTGTATTAGGTTATGAATGCATTTGAAATATTAGTGCATGGCCCAGAGAAGCTGTATATGGTGGAAATGTGTTGACTGGTACTAGGCCAAAAGAAAAGTAGTTAACAAATGTTTATTTTTAACTTTGAGGGGATTTGTAGTAGAGATTTGAAAGTTACCCACAGATATTCAGACTTGATATCTGAAATTAATACAGGATAAGGATCAATAAAGAAAAACAAGGATCTGCACATGGTATGAATCTTGAGGAATGTCCCATAGGTAACAGAAATGGTGTGATTTGTCACTGAAAAGACTGAAATAGATAGCAAAGACTAGAATCAGTATGTGGTTGGTTTCAAGAAAGAACAGGTATTCAATAATATCTTCTGCTGTTGAATCATCAGAATGATAAAGGACTGCAGAGGCCCAAGTTGATATACTGTTGATAGGATGTTGCCCTGTGTGATCAGCCCTCATGCTTTTTGTGTCTATAGATTCAACCAATTAGAAATGAAAAATATTTCGGAAAAAATTAGCTCTGCGTTAAATATGTTATAGACTTTAATTTTTTTGTTGGAATGCCCCAAAGAGGATAGATATCAGTTCTATGCAAATTCTGTGCTATTTCCTGTGAGTTCCAGCAGCTGTGGGTTGGGTGGTAAGATGGTCCTAAGTGGAATCACTCATGTACTGATGGAAGTTTGTACATTTTCCAGACTGGTACTTTAGCCATTGACCCTTTTCTTTAAACAAATCTTTATAATAAATAAATCACTATTTTTATTGGAAAAGCAGATCAGATGTACAGATGTACAGATCCCCAAGTGAACACAATGATCGGAGCTGTGCCAATCTGAAGCCCTGAGCCAGGAGCTTCTTTTGGGTCTCCCACATGGGTACAGGGTCTCAAGGCTTTGGGCTGTCCTATACTGCTTTCCCAGGCCACAAGCAGGGTAAAGCAGCTGGAACACAAACTGTCACCCATATGGGATCCTGCCGCTTTGCAAGGTGAGAATTTGGCCATTGAGCCATTATGGTGGACCCCAAACAGCTAAGTTTATGAGGTGTGAAAAATATGGAAGTTAATTGTAAAGTCTTAAGTGGATAAGAGGTTAAACCAGCTCATTGTATATTTCTGTTGTATTCCTTTAAGGATTTGTAAAAAAAACTTAGCTTTTTTTTTTTTTAAATACTGCACTTTAGTTGAAATGATACGTTATTACTTTGGCTCAGAATAATTAATTTTGCCAGTGGTTTTTTTTTTCATTTCTTTGATATTCCATTTCCTTTGAGACTTAGGATATTACAGTTTTTTTTTTAATTTTTGTAATGTCTGTCATATATAATGAATTTGGAAATGATCCTACTTAAAAATTTTGCAGGTAATTTTGCATAAAGAACACTTTTTACTGACAAATGATTTTGCTACTTTAAATTTGTTGTTAGACACCGTGAATGTGAGGACTTCTCTAGTTTATTCTGTGTGTCTGTAATTATTTTGTTAATTCCTGGAATTTTGTTTTTCTTTGTGGATGTAAGTATCTATTAACTTTATAGA